GTCTGAATATGAGTGATTCTGAGTGTGAAGCTGACTGTGAAGGAGTTTGAGTATGACTTTAAGCGAGTTTGAGTGCGTGTGAGCCAAGAGTTGGCCCATTTGCGAGACAAGAGACCTACCAGATAACACATTTCTCTCGCTCACACATTTCCCACATAATATCTTCGAGTTTTTGCGCGTTCGCGAGAGAGTTGGCTCAGCCTCCATCGGTCGCGTTGCCACCCAACTGATCCCAGTTCGTCCACTCCGCCTCTCCCCGACGCCTCATTAGCGAAAGCCGTCGCGGGCTCAGTCGACCACCTCTCGATATCTCTCCGGTTTGCCTTCTTTTCTGCTCCTGCCAGCATGGCGGCTCCGTGGCCAGTGGGCGTTCCAGCCGATTGATTGAATCGGAGTGCGATTTTCGTGTCATGTGTTGCGCGGCATAGATGTATATGACGTGACTTTTTTCACGGCATGCCACGTATACGGCATGTGTTGTGCGTGCGTTGCGCAATCAGTGCATGCGTTGCATATGGCCTGAGACTTGTACGTTGCATGCCTTTATTGGTGATGTATGTTGGTTGTGACGTTTGTTTGCATGCGTCGTATATGACCTGCGATGTGTCAGCACTGGCTGCATGCGGCACGCTTGGTATTTGACTTGCTCAGTGCATGGCCTGCCTTGTACAGGACCTACGCCGTATGCTGCATATACGCCTTGGTTATAGTAAATGCGTATTCCATGTTGTCTGTGGCCTCGTGTGTATGTACACTTTAGCATACGTGCCAGATCTCGCACGCGGCATGACTAATATGCGATATGATTTTTTTTTCTGTTTGTGTGCATTCATTGGTTCCTGTCGTGTATGTGTTTGTCATTGCGCACTGTGCGCATTGTTTTCGGCATATCTTGTGTGCCGACTCTCGTGCGTGATATGCTTTGTACACTAGGCTTTTGTTGCGTGTGATATTCCCCCCCTGGGGCGGCGACGTCCGAGGCGCCCTTCATCTACAAGAACACTGGCATGCCAGTTGGCGATGCAGTTGTCGCGTGGGGCCAGGCAAACTTCAAATGGAGGTGTATGCTCTGCGGCTGGAGCCCGCAGTGTGCGCCGCTGGCCGAGGACTCCTTTCCGCGGGAACGCAACGTGTAATTGTTGGTATCACTATAGTGGCATTTTATATTTCTAGCAATCTGGCTCGGAAGCCCATGTAGCCCGTGGCAGAGCCAGGCCCCGTTCAAAGGCAGTGGGCCATTATTTCGTTGTACATCTGTGAGAATAACAACAAAGCGTTGCACTTTCGCCCCGAGTCGGCGCCGTTGGCTTCGGGGTGGCCTCGGGCAACTCAGCGCGCGCATGGGGCAAGCCCCCCGTCTGCGTTTGGATTTCCTCAGGCCCCGACTCCCCGACCTAGGCCACCCCCTACGACAACCACTTCGCGGGCAACAAGCACTCGAATCGGGCGGGCTGGAATGGCATCGTTCTCAACCCCGCCCGCAAAAACTTCAGGGGCGTCGGTGGCGCGGGCTGGGGCGCGGCAGGTTTTGGCGCGGGCTTGGGCGCGGGGGCAGCCGCGGCGGCGGCGCCGCCGCCGCCGCCTGAGTGGGGCGCGGGCGCGGCGGCGGTTCCCCCGCCGCCGCCTCCTCCGGCCGTCGTGGATCCACCGCCAGAGCTGGCGCTCCCGGACAAGGCGCCCGAGCGCGGCGTGGCCGCCCCCGAGGCGGCGCTGGTGGCGGACATCGCCGGCGGCGGCGGCGCGGCGGCGGGGGCGGGCCCCGGCGACGGCGGCGCGGCGGCGGTGGCGGGCCCCGGCCAAGGCGGCGCGACGCCTCAGCGTGTGGCGGCGCTCGAGGCTGGCGTCGATGCGCTTGAGCGGGTGCTCGCTCGTTTGCTCCGCGATTAGTGTCGTCGGCGTCGCGCGAGTCGGCAGCTTTGCGCCGAAACGGCCGGGCGGCCGGAGATCTGCGGCGTTCGAATATGTAGTTCTAGAACTGTCTATGTGCGCATCGTTCCAGGTGCTTGCTACAGACGTTGCCGAACCCGCAGAGCTGCACTTTTAATTGCGCGGCAGAATGCGACGCGGTATCCGCGCACTCGCGCGGCTAGCGTCGGACCCGGCCGTCGCCCACCCTCGCCCCCCTTCCCCTTTATTCGCATTTCTTCCGACATGCTGTGTGTATGACCTGCGTATTCCCTGGCGTGTGTGTGTGTGGCGTTGATGTTCACTGGTCTGATTTGTATATCACCTCTTCATGTATTATGTGCTATGTGTCTGGCTTCTGTCGTGTACGACGTGATTTGCATTGGGCTCGATGCATGCGCCGCTGCGAGGGGGGGTGGGGGGGTGGGGGTGGGGGAAGGCAGATGTCGACATGGGAGGCAACGCGTGCGAACGTGAAATCAAATACGCATGGCGACGCATGGGGCGAATACAGCATCGGGGCCAACGTAGACCACGCGTCGAAGTGTAAGTTAACATCCGCGCAACAGCCGCTCCGGAAGTACTGCACTCAGACTCGTTCACACTCGGACCCGCTCGCGCTCAGACGCACTCGGGTTCAGATTTGCCCACGCGCATGCCCGCTCAAACTCAGGTTCGCTCGCGCCCAAATTTACTCTCACTCAGAATCAGTCGCTCTCAGACTTGCGATTGGCTCGCACTCGGACTTGCGGCGCGGGGGATTGTCTCGAGCGAGCGGTTCGTCCGCGCGCGCGGGCGCTCGTTCACAGCCCCCCGTAGAATGACGTGCAACACGTGCAAAGATAATGCGATAGACGCATGGGGGGCCCCGCGTCGAGTATCTCGAAGTGTCCGGGCAGCGCGCTCCCGGACACGTCGTCGAGGCGTCTTTTGGAGAGCGGCGACGACGACGACCGCGACGACGACGACGATTCCGAATTTTTCGAGGTGTCCGGGCAGCGCGCTCCCGGGCACTTCGTCAAGACGTCTTTTGGGCAGCGACGACGACGACGACGACCGCGACGACGACGACGACGACCCCGAATTTTTCGAAGTGCCCGGGCGGCGCGCTCCCGGACACTTCGTCAAGACGTCTTCGGAAGAGCGACGACGACGACGACGGCGACGACGATTCCGAATTTTTCGAAGTGTCCGGACAGCGCGCTCCCGGACACTTATCAATCTGTGATTGACAATGTGAACGCCGAGCTGCCATGGAGAACGACGCGTGGGTTCATTGAATCTATCGCCGCGCTGGGCGCGTTGGTGCCTGAAGAGCTTGCTCGTCGCGCTCGCGTGAACAACGTTCAACTCAAGAGTTTGCTTTGCAATGCTATCGCATCAGCTCGCGTGCGTTTTTGTTATATATATATACCCAACCTCCGATTCAGGCACTCCTTGCCCGCGGCGCGTTTTGCTTTGCTTGGGTCTGGCACGTCGGTCAACGAATCATTCGACCGCGAGATCAACGCGTGGTTTCGCAATCAGGGTGACATCTACGCGTCGACGGCGGAGCTTCAACTTAGAATTGGATAGCTCGGCAAGCTGCAGGCCCACTGTTGCGCGCTGTATTCGCCGACGCTGCGGCAGCTGCGACAGGCCAACGTGCTATCGCGAAGCATTATGGCCCGGGCCTTTCCTCGGGATGAGTGGAAAAGTTACTGCGCGTTCCAGGCGCAGTGCGGCGCCGACGCTCTGGCGCCTGCGTGGCTTCCGCTACGCGAAGCCCGGCAGGGAGTCGCGCGGCGAATCGCCGAGCGCGCCGCTTGCGTTCAGATAAAGCCAGCGGCTGCTGGGCAGCGCGGTGCTCAGAAGAAGCCCGCTGCTAGGGCGCTCCTGGGCAGTTTGCGCGGTCGTAGAGCGCATGGGAGTAACAGAACAGCTTTCACTCTGAAGCGCAAGCCTGCGTCGCGCGGCGCCTCTGGCCAGGCTCCCGCCGCGTGCGGTTGCCCGCGGTGACTGATGCTGATTCGCCTCTCTCCGTCGGCGTCAATTGTTCCGTGGCTTTCTCTTCGCGGTGCCGCCCTATCTGGATCTGTCTATGGGCCGCGCTCGGCTGCGTTTTGCATCGCGGAGAAACAGCGGGGAGAGGAGGGGGGGGATGGGGGAGGGGGGGGGGGGGGGGGGGGGGAGGGAGAGGGGGATAACGGGGTATAACTAGGACCAGGGAATTGAGACATATACATTTCATAAGCTCCCATGAGCTGATCAGAAGCAGATAAATAGGGGCGCGTATTACACCACGGTCCTCCCCTCACACATATGTATATATGTGCATATAGGTCTAGCTATACATATATATATACACATATATATACATATATATACATATATACGTCACATCTGTAGCTCTATATATATATGCATCTATCTTCAAACATGTATATGCGTATCGTTCTATCCATGCTTGTGTATACATACATATATATAGACATATATATATATACATATGTATGTATATATTTATGTATGTGTATATCTAATATCGTTACACATAACCATATGTATATGTATATTTATATGTGTATGTATATGTATATGTGTATGTATACGTGTAGGAATATGTATATGTATGTATGTATGTATGTTTATGTATCTGTATGTATGTATATATATACATATACATGTATAAGTGGGTCAGGGGTTCAGTGGGGGCCCGAACAGCCGTGATGTCAGTGCCCGGGCTCTGGCCCCTTCCCCCGGCGGCTCTGCGTGCGGCAGGCTTTCAAATTGTACCTGGCGGCCCGAGGCCGCCGATATATGCTTCCAAGACGCCCAAGACGGCCTCGAGACGCAAGACGGCCCAGGAGGCCCCCAAGACGCCCAAATCGGCCCCAAGAGGACTCCCAAGAGGGCCTCAAAAGGCAACAGTGGCCCCGTTTCTGGTGGTGAACGTATTTTTAAGAAGATTCGTTTCTGGAGCTGTCAGACGGCCCGCGAGGCCTCCAAGATCGCCCTGCGACGGTCCAATAGGCTCCCTACAGAGCTCCAAGACGGCCCAGGAGAGCCCCAAGAAGGCCCAATAGGCCCCCAAGACAGCCCACGACGGCTTCCGTAGCCATTTTGGCTCAAGCCATTGTGATTCAAGTCGTTGTTTTTGATATCTTTCTCTCGGGATATTTTCGCTTCCATCCTTGAACATCCCACTTTCGCTCGTAGCGCCCACAGGGATGGGTCGTTTTCTGTTGCGATGGCTGGGCTGTCCGCTTCCCAGGCTCTCGATCTTCCCACCGACGAGCACGGCAAGGCCACCGCGCTTCGCTTGCTCTCTTGGGGCCGGACGAAGGAGGCACACCCCCGCGTGTGCGGATTCTGGTTCGCCACGATTTCCTTCTTCTGGACTTTCGTCGGATGGTCCGCCTTCGCACCGTTGATGGCAGTTGTGCGCGACGACATATCGGTCTGTGCGACGGCTTTGACGAGGAGGGGAAGTGCAACTGCGGTGCTGGCACGGAGTGCAAAAACTCATCGGCTTCAGGCTTGACAGCAGTTGCAAGCACAATCTTCGTTCGGGTGTTGCTTGGGGGCTTGCTGGAGAAGTCCGGGCCGCGCAAGGTGCACGTGGCGCTTCTAGGCCTCGGTGCGCTGTTTGTGGCGATGCTTGCGGGCAGCCCAGGCAAAAACACTTGGGAAGTGCCTGCGGGCAGCTCAGGAAAAGGCGCTCGGGAAGTGCCTTCGGGCAGCCCATGCAAGGCACCTGGGAGGTGCCTGGCTCACGATGGCCCGAAGAGTGGCCCAAGAGTCAGGAAGGGAAACGACACGCAATCCATCGTCGACTCCCAGGAAAAGATGGGAACACATGGGAAGGGGAACTCCAACTTCACGCGTCGAGCCCCCCGGCCAACGCGTGCCCCCCCGGACCGGCAGCAGGCCCCCCCCCCCCCCAGAGGCCCCCATGAGTCGCACAAGAGGGGCCCTTCTGCCTTCCTCGCGAACGTGCACGGTGCGGGTGGTTGGATGCACAGTACGGTCGTCCCGCATAGTAGGGATGGGCAGCCTTCCCAAGGGCGCCCTTAAGTCGGGCGTGTCCCTCTACAGGAGGAACGTTCAAGAATAGTAAAACATAGTCAGGGGACGTTTTGATTTGATTCTTCTGTACTAGATTCCAATATGTTTTGAGTATTTTTGATTTTCCGTCCAAGCTCCGCCTGTAGGAGGACATGCCCCACCTAAGGGTACCCTTGCATCCTTGCCTCCTCGGTCCATCCTTGGCCGCTTTCGCTTGCCGCGCCCCGCTTGCAACTTGTCGACATGGCCCCCCAATGACCTTGCATGTTTGTCGTGTGTCCTTGTAATGCGGGCTGGCAGTTGCACAGGGCGCTTGGGCTTTGGCTGTGCTGTCAATGCGGTCGCTTTGCAAATCAAGTTGTGGAAGACCTTGGGCAACAAATGCCACAAAACGATGAACTTCGCCCGAACCGAACAGGTACAGACAGTCGAAGTTTCGATGTCGGCCCGAGTTGGCTCGTCTGGTATCGCCATTGGATCCGAGCTCGCTTCGTGACTGGCGTCGCTCCCTCCCTCCCTCCTCTCCCTCCCCCGGACTCCCTCCTCCTCCTCCTCCTCCTCCTCCTCCTCCGCCTCCTCCTCCCCCTCCCCCTCCACCTCCTCCTCCTGCTCCTCTTCCCTCCTCCTCCTACCTCCTCCTCCTCCCTCCTCCTCCTCCTCCTCCTCCTCCTCCTCCTCCTCCCCCTTCCCCTCCCCCTCCACCTCCTCTTCCCTCTTCCTCCTCCTCGTGTTTCTCCTCCTCCTTTTCCTCCTCCTCCCTCCTCCTCCCTCCCTCCTCCCTCTCCCACCCACCAGCCCCCGCGGCCAGGCCTGGAGGCGGAGGCCGCCGCGGCCGCCCAGGACGACGCGGCGCGGCGGCGCGAGGCGCAGGACCTGCTGGTGGAGGCCGCCGCCGCCGCCGCCGTCGTCGTCGTCGTCGTCGTCGACGTCGACGTCGTCGTCGCCGTCGAGGGGGGAATGAGGAGGATGATGCTGAGGATAATGAGGAGGAGAACGCGTGGAGAGAGAGAGAGAGAGAGAGAAAACGAGAGAGAGAGAGAGGTGTGAGGAAGAAGGAGGGGGGAGAAGGATGAGGAGGAAAAGGAGGAGGAGGAGGAGGAGGAGGAGGAGGAGGAGGAGGAAGGGCAGGGAGGCGATAGGAAGAGGTAGGATACATCAACAGGGGATATGGCAGGAATCGGACATGAGCGATGCTAGTTATTGTTCTGATGCAGATGATGATGCTGCTGATGATGCTGCTGATGATGATGATGATGCCCCTGCTGGTGATGATGGTGATGATGATGATGCATCTAATATGAATGATGTCGTTGATGGTGTTAATGATGCTGTTGCTGCTGATGATGCTGATGCTGATGGTGATGAGGAGGAGGACGATGATGATGAGACCGATGCTGATCTTGCTGACGATGATTCTGCTGCTGCTGAAAATTGTTGCTGATTCTTTTTATGCTTATGATTACGATGATACTGGTGAGGATGAACATGAGGATGCTGATGCTTATGATGATGCTGATGCTGACGATGATGATGTTGATGATGCTGATGATGCTGCTGATGGTGGTGATTGTGATGTTGGTTCTGGCAATGATGCAGATGCTGATTATGCTGCTGCTGATGATGATGTTGATGATGATGCTGATGCTGATGGTGATGATGATGGTGATATGGTGGTGCTGCTGCTAATGATGATGTTGATGACGGTGGTGGTGATGCTGATGTTGATGCTGCTGATGAGGATGTTGATGAGGATGATGCTGCTGCTGCTCATGATGATGATGATGACGATTATGATGGTGATGCTGATGATTCTGCTGCTGCTGCTGATAATGATGATGCTGATGATGATGATGCTGATGATGATGCTGATGATGATGATGCTGATGATGCTGCTGCTGATGATGATGATGATGATGATGATGATGACGATGAGTATGATGACGATGACGAGGGCGATGATGCTGCTGACGATGCTGATTATGCTGATGATGCTGCTGATGATGCTGCTGATGATGCTGCTGATGCCGATGCTGATGCTGATGCTGATGCTGATGCTGATGATGCTGCTGATGATGATGCTGATGATACATATGCTGCTGCTGCTGATGATGACGATTATGATTATGATGATGATGATGATGATGATGATGATGATGATGATGCTGATGCTGATGCTGTTGAAGATGATGATGATGATGATGATGATGATGATGATGATGATGATGATGATGATGATGATGATGATGATGATGATGATGATGATGATGATGATGATGATGATGATGATGATGATGATGATGCTGATGATGATGATGATGATGATGATGATGATGATGATGATGATGATGATGAAGAAGAAGAAGAATAATAATAATAATAATAATAATATTAGGAGGAGGATGAGGAGGACAAGCAGGAGGAGGAGGAGGTGGAGGAGGACGAGGGCGAGACGTAGGAATAGTGGGGGAGTATGAGCAGGCGTGCTCTTCTCTCCGCTTGCTCCTTACCATCCACTTCCTCCTTGTCCTGCTCCCGACAAGGGGGAGAGGGAGACGCGAGAATGAAGAAGTGGAGGAGGAGGGGGAGTGGAGTGGAGTGGACGCCGTTGCGGATGCAAGTGTCATCACCATCGCCTAACTACCCTACTCCCTGGACTCGGACGGATTCCGACCGTCGCAGCCGACTCTGCTCGACTCAGGACTTTGGGGTGCAAACCAGCTCTACTGATCCTGTCAAGGTACTCCCGTCCAGTCTTGGAGGTTTTCGCGCTCGCAGCTGCTTATCTGCAAACGCCCCGCACGTAGTACAAAACCGCACCTGAAGAGACACGTGTACATTCAACGCGTGTATCGAGAGGGAACGAAGACCTTGACCTCGCTTCGCGAGGTGCAGACCAGGAGAAGTCAAAGACGATTCAGGCAGCAACTGGCCCTTGGAAGAAATCCACGGCGTTGCCGATGCCGGTTCGGATCTTCCGAAGCTTGCCTTGGGCATGAGAGGAGGGGAGGGGGGAGGCAACAGTGAGTGAGTGAGTAGGGGAGGGCTGATTCCGAGTTAAGCCAAGCTCAGTAGCTGTTGACGCTTCCGAAGGCGATCCGCATGCGAGTTGCTTTTGTCAGGGAAGCGTAGGAGCACGAAGTGGAACAGGGAGCAGGTGAGCCATCGAGGCGGAAGTGAGGACTAGGAAGTCTCTCGCGAGGGCCCGGCTCCCTGAGAGGAGGGACCTGTCGTTCTTGTCTGTTTTGCCCTGCGCTGCCCCAGCGCTCCTGTCAACAGGCTATGAAGTCGGGCCTGTCCCTCAACAGGAGGAATATTCAAAAGTAGTCAACAAATAGTCTGAACCTAAATTGCAGCGAAACGTGGCAAGAGGGCACACGTGAACCAGAGCGTACGGCGATCCGCATCTCGGGATCAGCCTGAGCGGACCCAGGAGTCAGCAATGCCTCTCTCGACGTGAGCGCCTCTTGGGTCTCTGATGTAATTTGACCACATTGGGGCGCTGTTATGACCAGTTTGGAGGCCTGTGGGGTTGTCTTGTGGCCCTCTCTGGGCCTCGAGGGCACGCTTAGAGACCCGCCAGACCCTCGTGGAACCATAACAGGGTAATTGCAAGGGCGCTGCGGGGTCACTGCCAGGTCGGCCTGCACGGTCCGTTTGCAGCGCATTGCAGGGTTATGGCCTGCGGCGTTCTGCGATGCGGGGTACTGCGAGGCCGTTTTGCAGGGGCCTGGCTGGGTTTTGCAGGGGTCTCTTCAGGAAGGCGTTGCAGGGTAGCACAGGGGGATGCGGCCAGGCCCAGGGGATCGGTCAGGGAGAGTTTTTTGGGTATTGTTCTGGAAAAGCTGGCCTCTCAGTCGCCCACAGGGCTGGTGGGGATTCGGGGTTGGTTCGGACGGGGCCAGGACGAGGATGAGTCCGTTCCCGAGCGTTCCGCAACGCTCTCAGAGCGCTCTGGAACGCTCTGAGAAGGCCGCGGCGCCCGAGACATCCTTCAGAGCCGCCAAACCTCAGAGATTCTGGATTCAGCCTCACCCGATTTTATCCTCGTCCTGGCTTCGTCCTGGGATGGGGGTCGGGGAACAAACAACGACATAAACATAGTAACTCTGAGGTCCGCGCGGACTTCTTGGAAACGCAGAACTCTGGATTCATCCTCACCCGATTGTATCCTTGTGCTGGCCTCGTCCTCTCGGTATGCTCCAGGGCACCGCCTGGGTTATCAGGCTGGTCTCGCTGGTCGGGTCCGCGGCCAGGGACGCGTCTGGTCTTCACACTCCCCTTTCCCCTCCTCCCCCTCCCTCCTCTCCTGTTCCCTCCTCTCCCCTCGGCGCCCTCCCTCCTCCATCCTCCATCCTCCATCCTCTCTCCCTCCCTCCCTCACTCTTCCTCTCTCCCTCCCTCCCTTCCTCCCTCCTCTCCCCCCCGGGCCCTCCCTCCTCCGTCCTCCATCCTCTCTCCGCCACGCCCTACCTCCCTCCCTCCTTCAGTCTTCCTCGCGCTCCTCTTCCCCCTCCTCTTCCTGACATCTTCCGGGTGCCCTCATTCGCCGTGGGAAGGAGAGAGGAGGGAGGATGGACCAGGAGGAGGAGGAGGAGGAGGAGGAGGAGGAGGAGGAGGAGGAGGAGGAGGAGGAGGAGGAGGAAGAGACAGACAGATCAGGATGGATAAGGGGAATGAGGCTAGGACACCCGGAAATCTTGGACACTCCTTCCCCTGTCAGGCTGCAAGGGGGGAGCACGAGGGACGAAAAGCGGAGGCAGAGGAGAAGGAGGAGGA